CCCCGCCTGCACCGCCCCCGGCCCCTAACCCTGCACAGCCCCCCACACCCCATCCCTGCCCCCGGGCCCGGCCCCCGGAGTGGATTTGCCGCAGTCATTAATAAGGAAGGTTTTAAACGCTCACCCTTCTAAAAGTTGTTGTTTACATGCCTCCCCTCTCTGCCTCCCGGTACAGTACTCTTTAAAACAGGACTGACCAACATGCGCAATCTCTCCCTCGCTATGCTGTGCATCCCCACCGCCCCCCCCCCCCCGCTCGCACCAGCTTCCTTCTGAGAGAGAGAGGGAGAGGGAGAGGGAGAATGGAACTAGAGGAGAAAGATGAGATGGAGGGGAAAAGAGGGTGAGACAGAAAGAAAAAGAAGAAAAGATGAGACTCAAGGACAGAGAGAAGCAGGGAAGAGGAAGAGACACAGAAGAGGAAACAGAAGTCTACAGTAGATTCGCTGCAAAAATAAAATAAATCCACAATAAAGCCTAGAATGGCTGTGACGCGCATCCATTCATCCCCATCCCCACCAGCCCTGCTCACCAGCAGCAGCGGCGGCAGCAGCAGTAGCAACAGCAGCTCCAGTTCGGTTTTACCTTACGGGGAGGCGTCCTCGGGAGTTGATATCCCCTCAGGTTAGGAGGACAGGAAGGGCAGGGGGGAGGGAGAAAGGGATGCTCCCGAAATTAAAACACCTTGGGGGAGGGGGCACGGAGACAGCAGCAGGCAGATCATCAGCCACTTATCATTGCAAAAATAAAAAAGAAAACCACCCGGCAAAGACCCCCAAACACAGCTGGGGACCAAACCCCGCCGGCTCCTCAGATGCCTCCTCCAGTCTAGGAGTGGATACAAAGTAACTCCATAGATGCGAATCCCCCCCCCAAAAAATTGCTTCCAACTGCGATAGCCTCGCTCTGCACAATTCACCACCCCTGTGTATGTTTCTGTTTCTTTTTAAACCAAGACTTCCTTGTGATCTCTTTAGAAAAAAAAAAGTGTTGGGGGGAGGAAAGGGGAGTAGCCACTTTTCCCCCTTATTCACTCAGATCTTCTTTCTTAATTTTTCTCCTCCCCCCGCCACCCACCCCCCACCTCGCCCTCCAGGGTTGTTGCGAGTCCAGGTAGCACAGCCCCATCTCCGGGAGTGTGTATATGTGCTGTATTGTGTTGCGTGTGTGTTGCCGTTCCCTCCCTCTCTCCCAGGCCCCCGGTGGGGCTGAGGGGTCTCCCCCAATCTCTCTCCTCCCTCCTCCTCCGCCGTTGCCGCCGGGAGAAGCGGACAGATCGCACTCTGGGCAAGTTGTATTAGGTCAGTTTCGCAATGATCTTCAGTAACACACACACATACATACACACATGCATACACACACACAAAACAGCAGCGCACTTTATTTCAGACACGCGCGCGCGCACAGCAGATCTCCCGGCCCGGGCGGTGCCCCTCCCCCTCCTCCCTTCCCGCAACCTTTAAAAAAAAAAAGCTTATACTTAAAAAAATCTTTTGGCGCCATATTAATGACGTACTTAAAATTTGCCATTTCTCCCTGCGTCAAAAATACGTTTCTTTGCACAGCTCAGACCGGAGGGGACACACGCCGGGCACTGGGGCTGGGCTGGATTCCCCCCTCCCGCCCGGTGGGCGGGCGCGGGAAGCCCCCGGACCCTCAGCCCCGCGCTTTAAAAAAGGCCGCTGAAATCAACAAGAGGCGGTGGCTGCCACTAGAGAGCGCAGAGGGGGCGCTCCTCCCCAAGCCCCCCGACACCAACTTCTTGGGGGAGGGGTGCGAGAAGTTGGGGGGGCCACCTGAAGAAAAGATGAGAGGACGCCCCGAATGGGTAGGGGAGCCCCCTTGGCTGCGGCTCCCCGGCTTCACATCCGGAGGGCGGGAGGTGGGGTGGGGGTGGGGAAGCGTGAATCTCGCCCTAGCCCCAGCTTCAGTTGCCCTTGTGTGACCCCGCCCCTTTGCTCACCCCATCCCACTTCTCCCCAACCCCCAACCCCAGTCCCCTAAAGGGTTAAAAAAAATAGAAGCAACTTCTAAGTGTGTGCTCTTTAAAAGGAAACTGGACGTCCCTGTCCCGTCTCCCGCCCCCCACCTCCTCTCTCTCTCCCTCCCCCAACTCCTGCTTCCCTCCTCCTCTCCAGAGCCACCTTCTCTGCTTCCAGACTTGACCTTGTAGTGCACAAACAATGCACTTCAGTCGCTGGCTGTTTTCTAGAAGAGCTCCAAGGGCTGTTCGCCTGCCAGTCTGTTTGCGGATGAAAGCCGTGGCGCTTCCAGTATCAGCCTAGCCACACCCACCATTGCTGGCCTGCGAGTCTCCTTTCCCTCTAGGAAGAACTGTTATTAATGGGGGCCGCAGGGCCCCACAACCTGCTCCTGCATCCCCCCTACCCCACCCCTTCCTATCCCAGCTCACACCCACTGTGTGGGGATGAGAATGCCTCCCCGCCCCCAACATGAAGGCTCCGAGCCTCTCCGGACACCAAAACACAACTTTCTTTCCTTCCCCTTTTGGCTACACCTCAAGATGATCCAGTAATTCGAAAAGAACTCCCTTCCCTTGGAGAACGGGAGGAAAGATTTGTGAACTGCGATGGGAAGGGCAGTCTCTTAGAAAATTGTTTATAATCTTAAACCCCCTTCCTGAGGATAGATATTAAATTTACATAAGATGACATTTATGTGACAATTAGGAAGATTCTCTCTGATGGAATGTTGTGAACACATTTGCTTATAAGAGAAATAAATCCAATGATAAACAAACTGATAATAACAGCACAGATCCTCTAACCGGACAAGTTGTCGACACAACAAAGGCCAAGATGATTGATGCTAAAACAAGCAAATTTTGCAATAAGAAAAATAGAATCTCAAAGGCAGAGTTCGACTTCTTCATTCACAAAAACTGCAACAAGCTTGTGTCTGCTCCATAGCTAAAGAGAAGAGGAGAAAGCAGGGATAACCTTGGAAGGGAAAATCAAAAAGGTGGTCAAAGATGAGAATCTTTGCTGTGCCTGAAGATGTAACTTGATTTCCATATACTCAAGGTCATCAAATAGAAAGGGGATGCAACTAATTCCTTTTTTTTTTTTTAAACTCTGACCCACTTGCTCTCTGTATATCCTCTCAGGGCCTCAGTTTCCCAATTAGGGGATTAGACAAGGTGGTCTTGAAGGTCCTCAGTCTGTTTTATAATGGAAAAGCACCTTATTAAACTGTTGTTTTTAGGTTAGCATGGGTTATATACTGTGCTGGCATAGGTTAGTTAAGATGAGTTGATACCAAAAAGGTGAACAGTGTCATGTTAGTGCTATCTGTGGTCTGTGTAGAGAGGAATTCTTCTTGTGGAGCTGACTCAAAGCATCACCCAATGTCTAAGTGCAAACTTTACCCAGAGCCCCACCCCATTCTGCTCTAAATCTGTTTTGTTTTTCAATTAGCTTGGAGTTAGGAGACTTAAATTATGGAATCACTGCATTTCAGAGCTGGAAGAGGCATAGAGAGCATCCAGTCCAACCCATTGTAGTTGGAAAGATATCTGGATTTTCAGTCATGAGATCTGGGTTCAAAATCCTGATCCTGCTGCTTACTATTCTGGGCTTCTGTTTTCTTATCCGTAAATGTAGGGAAATAACCTCTAAAGTCCCTTCTAGCTCTGTCTAATGATCTGATAATCCATACCCGAGCAGGATTCCTCTCCACAACATCCTTGACAGTTGTGTCATCCAGCCTTTACTTGAAAACCTCTGATGATAAGGATTATATTAAATCCTAAAGTAGCTCATTCAACCTAGGTAGTTTTCATTATTAGAAAGTTTTGCATAGGATCATAGAATTAGAACTGGAAGATGTTCATTTTACAGGTGTGAAAACTAAGACCCCAGGAGGTCAAGTGACTTGCTCCAAATCACAAAGCCAGTAAGCAAAAGAACTGAAATTTGACCCCAAGTCTTCTGACTCCTAATTCAATGTCCTCTTCACTATACCATTTTCTTATACTGAGTTAACCTGGCTCTCTGCAACCTCCCCCCCAACACACAGCCAGATATAGATGTAAGGGGAAGGGGAGAGTTGACTAACGATTTGATCGGACCTCGTAGAACTTATAGTGTTCTCATCCTGTCCTACTGAACTCTGCTAATACCCAAGTCCCTTCAAATATTTCTAGTCCCACAATGCTTGAAAGGTTAAAGAAGTTAATCTGGTTAGAATACCCAGGTACCATTGAGTTCATAAGACCAGCACCAGTATCATGATTTCTCAGAATTTACTAGGAATCCCCGGAGTCTAACTACAACTTATCCAGTTAGGTCTTAATTTCTCCAGGGGTAGGAGATTGGAAAGGAAACATGGCAACTTTCAGGACCATTTCTCCTAGAACTATGTTCCCAAAGTGCAAACATCATTCATGACCAGAATGACACAAAAATGCAATCATTTCTAATAATAATCATAAACAACAGTCATATTTTCTATGCACTGTAGCAAGGAGCTCTCTCTGAGTAGTCAGAAAGAGCTCTATGACTCTCCCTAGGAGAATTGCTTTTGAAATCACTACTTTCACCATTCGATTTAGTTCAGCAAATATTTATTGAGTATTATCCTGCAAGTCTCTGTGCTAGGTGGGAGGGATAAAAAGGCAATAGCAGACTAGGTCCTGTTCTCAAAGAACTTATGTTTTACTCTGTTTCACATGTGCTGGTTCTGTGTGCTGGTTCAGCAGAAAGAGACCAGGCAGGGGACTACTAGGGCAGAATGCTGTATGCATTGGCAGACAGGGCCACTATTGTGTCATGTTTTTGCTTAACTATATTTTCTTGTTAGAAGGAAGAATTAAATTCCAAGGGAGAGGGTGGGAGTAATTTCAGAAATTATTGTGATAGAAAAACAAAACTTTTTTTTAAAACACTCTCCTTTCTGAACCTCAGTTTACACATCTGGAAAATGGAGATAATCCTGGTTCTTTCTCCTCAGAGAGGTTGTGAAGAAAATGTATGTAAAGTACTTTGTAACCTATTATATAATATTACATTATATATTAGCATTATATATTAGTCAGCTATTATTATGATAATTTTATCTGTCATTTCTTTAGAATTTAATTGGAAGCTCCCCAAAGGCAAGGACCACATTTTCTCCAGTAACCCCCATATTACTGAACCTGGTGCTAGGTAAACTGTAGCCACTCACTAACATTCCTCACCCACCCACATATTATCTCTACTTTTTGAAAGTCTACCCACTCCTAAAAGCCAACTTCTTAGAAGCCTCCCCAAATCCCTCCAAATTTGGAGATGACCTTTTCCTCTTTGGACCTCAAATAGCACTTTGAGCTTATTATATTCTGATCTAGTTTACGGTTTTTGTGCATAGTGAATAGAATTGGATTCTCCCTACTAGATTGCAAACCCCGAGGAGGGCCAGCACTCAGCTTTAATTATATTTTTATGGCCCCTGGTACCCAAAATTGGGCCCTGCATGCATTAGAGAGCTTAATAAATGGCTGTGGAATTAATTAATTGGAGGCAGAATGTGATGAGCCAGCTTTGCTCCTTTTCTTTGGCTTGGGTATCAGTTAATTCACCACAGCAATGGCCTAAACCTCTTCACATCCCTCTCACAACACTTGTCCTGTTACCAAACAGTAATTTGAGTCCTAGAGGAAGAATTGGGTTAGATTAGCACTTGAGATGGTCAGAGTGCTATTTAAAATTAAAAAAAAATTTCTGGCCCATCTGGAGGCAGCCATTAGAAGACAGAACAGTTATCTGATTTAATAATGGCTCATATTTATACATATAGTGCTTTAAGGTTTACAAATTACTTTCTTCATAATAACCACACAAGATTTGATAGGGTAAGTATTTTCCTCATTTTACAGAAGAGGAAGCTGGGGCTCCCAGAGAGGCCAAGTGATCTGACAGTGGTCATCTAGCTAGTGTCAGCGTTGAACTTAGGTTCTCAAGTTTGGGATTATCCCAGGACCCCTACAGTCCCTTCACTATAGAAGGTACTGTA